AATACCCAAGTGAGTGTGTAAGATGCCTCTCTAGACAGCGTACCTGCATAAGATGCTGCACTGCAGCTGATATACCATTATGCAGCTCTCTCTTTATTCCTCCCTCTCACAATGCACTTCCATCTCTATCAAAGGAGAGATCGGATTTTGTTTGTTGGTTAAATTTAATTTAGCGTTTTCCAGTTACATTTTCAGTTGCAAAATAATGTGCATGCCATGTCATATCTAAGTATTTGAATGTTTTGCTAAAGAAAAAATAACTCTGTGTGTGTTGATAAAAATGTGAGCAGCATCTAAATGATGGAATGAAGGAGTCATGCAATATGTCAGTAATATTTCAGGTTAAGCAAAATATCCCCAAATATTTTAGATATTAATTTTGAGGCAGTTAACAAAACGCCTGACTCTTTTAATGTGCACATTCCAACCAATTAAACTCGCGAGGGCATTCAACAAAAGCCATGTTCTTTTTTTCCTTGACAAGTTTGCACTCCCTGCCTCCATCAATGCCACAAATTCATCAAATATTCACACGATGCTGAATCACTTGAGGACAACTCTAAAAGTTACTGTTACCTTGGACGTGACTCTACAACAGAATTTACTTGCTCGCGAACCCATTATTTCTCCTGTAAAAGAATTGTTCACGACAATCCAATCTGCAGAGGAATTTTGCTATTCATAAAAGAACACAAATTAAATCTCTCTTAGTCTCCCAGTCTGATCGATGTTGTGTGAGTGATTACAGTACAAGTGTTGTGCAAAACTGGACTGGAGTCTGTTTGCATGTGTTGTTAACAACACAAGAAACTATATTGATCATTTCACTTACTTTGGATTACATTTGATGAACACATTGACATAGATTTGTAGGTTTAAAGTTAAGGACTGTAGTTTACATTATATAAACCATGGCTACAGCTTTTAAATGCACACAAGTCGTAATGCTAATTATTGCTATTGTCAAACCAATGATCAATGTTAGGTAAAAATGTTGGAAGGCTGTATGAATTTTAACTGAAACTACACGAGAAGAAAACTGACCAACATTATACTGAGCTGATTATCTCAAGATTCACTGTCAGTCCAAGACTGACTTGACAGCAAACCTCCGATATCTGTCCATTTTATGCTCCTTATCAGGTCTCCAGATCATGAGGGTAGCAATTTAATCAGAGATACCCAGAAGTCACTCTCCCCGGACACCTCCTCCAGCTTTTCTAGTGGGACACTGAGGTATTTCCAACCTATTATTATCTCTCCTGAGCTTCCTGGGTAACCCCAGGACATCCTTCTAGTTGAACATGCCCAAAACATCTCACCTATAGGAGAAAGCCACCTCCGCTGACTGCTTTTAGTGTGAAGAGGTAGCAGCTCTACTCCAGGTGCTTCCCAGATGATGGAGGTCCTCACGCTATCTCTAAGGGACAGCCCAGATATTCTTCAGAGAAAGCTCATTCCTCATGTGTCCATCTAGTACAGGTGCTACACCAATCCATTTGTCATTCTACTGCGCTGTAGTTCTCCCTCCATCAAGAAATAGCCCCAAAATACTTGAACTCCCTCAGTTGGAGCAGCAACTCATTCTCAACCTGCAGCGGGCACAACACCCTTTCCCAATTGAATGTGGCATGTTGTATAGAGCACTTTGAGTACTCCGGGAGAGTAGAGCACGCTACATAAGAATCTGTCCATTTGCCGTTCACCCCACCTGTCAGACTGAGTTCGTCCTGTTATTTAAATGGAAAATGAAGCTGAAAGATAACTGTTTCTGACTCAGTAGAGAATTGTGCAGGGTGCATCATAGAGGCAAAACATGACGCAACAGAATCAAATAAAACAGAGAATGCTGTGGAATAGCAGCTCCACTGGAAACTACCCAGACGTGCATGTGAAGATGCCCTTGATGGGGAGATTGTTGAATTTTAAAGGGCCCCTTTACCAGAGCCTTTGCTTACCTGGACCTGAGTGGATGTTTTGTGTTTTGTGCGTATTATTGATATTTACATATATGTGTGTGTGTGTGTG